TGTGTGCCTTGGCAATAATTATAATCATATGCATTCGAATATATATTTTCAACCTCTTCTGTGTCAAAACTAGCATTGGGATCCATGTTTATTAATACGTTACACCGGCCGCTCTCCCCCTTGTTTCCCCCGTGTTACGTCACACGCGAGAGGTCACGTGCGGAGGCTTTTTTATGCGGAAGTGAAAATGTCTTACTAAAACGACACCAGATGTCACTGTTGTGTATATTTCTGTATATTTTTGGGAAATCTAGTGTATTCATCATTTTCCTACACATTTATTCACTGGTGTCTCTAACCTGCAAGTTGCTCTTTAAGGAATACACCCAGCAATGACTCACTTGGGCCTCCTGTGGCATGAAGGACATGTTTATCTCCTTACACACTCGTATGTACTTTGCACAGTACAGCTTCATGTTGTTGAACAGCTCATCGGGACAATCTGTTGGAAAACATTTTAAGTATATACGTTATCTGTTTAAAAAACGAAAATCAAAACATTGTGTCTGGTTTTTCAATTGTATATTATGAAAGTGGTGATTCAGTTTACTTACAATCGGTGAAATAAACATATGCGGCTTTATATTTAGGTTTGGTCTTGAAGTCAGCAATGAAGGCCTCAACACACTATAAAATGAAATAAAATGTTAAGATTTAACAAAACATACCAAAATGAAAACTTGATTGGAATTGCAATGTTATCAGGGGTTGCAGGGTTATGATGGCAAACCTTAGCGGTTGGTGAAATGAAGTAGATGGCCTTCATTTCTGGAACAGGCTCTCTGCTCTTGAACAGGTCTTCCACAACTAAAGAAAAACAATGTTTATTTCAACAGAGTAGCTACAGACATCCAGGTAGAAACTGCAGTTAGATTGGTCTATAACTGATATGATATGAAAATCAGTGTTTAACTGTTAAGTAGACCTACTTGTTATTTTCTCTGACATCAGATCGGACATTTTGCAGCATGATGAGAGCAGCTTGGTGGTGAAGGGGTCCAGAATCAATATCTGTGAGGAACAAAGATTCACAGTGGGTAGGTCAAATTATTTCTCACAATGTTAAATGTTTCTGGAAATTATAATTAAATGTACAGTCACAGTAATTAAGTGGAGTCAATACAAATCTTAAGCAGAATCAGAATACCTTTATTAGTCCCACGGAGGGGAAATTTGCATAGTTACAGCAGGGAAAAGAGCCACAGATAGCTTAGTGTTACATATGTTAAATATGTGACATGCATTAAAAAAAAGTGCTAAGTTATGATGTTAGCAGCCAGGTATGTATTACAGTTATTAACGGCATCTATAAAGGACTGGCTTATCTAAAGCCAGTTGAGTAACACTTGAAATGTTTTGGCTCTATGAAACCTGATGTACTTATATGATTCTGTTTTCTTCAAGTTTGTATCTTCCTGGTTGAATGCACTTATTGTAAGTCGCTTTGGATAAAAGCGTCAGCAAAATGCAATGTAATGTATATATATTGCACATCTAGCACATAGGTGGTTGGTATTTAACAGCAGCAAGTTACACAATTTACAAAATACACACGTTGTTACAGTTCTAAGGATTAATATTGTATTGAGTACATGGAGGCTTGTCCTACCTTCCATACTTCAGAATTCCTGCAGTCTGTAATAATTGTGTCTTTTATTTCTGTAAGAACATGAAAAACAACAAAGAATATGACTGAATGTACAGATTGACAAGAAAATTCATATTACACTCTCTAGCGTATGAAATAAAATAAAGACATTTGAAGTGTATGTCTGTTAATTTAACTACACATGAAAACAATTCAAATTAAACTATAAAAAAACTAAACTGTACTGCAAAACATTACCCTCATTCAGTCTCTAATTTTCAGTTTTTGCTCAATCATTTTTGGTTAAAGATTTTAGTTCTGGAGGAAGTGTGGGAAAACCGAAAACCAACCACAAACTCATCTTTTGGGATTGTGTTTTCCAAATAATTAAAATACCCTCTTAGATTCATTGCCGTTATCACTAGGGATCTGTACCTGAATAATAAATACTTGGCAAAGATCAGAGGTACTGCACTTTTTTCTTTTTGCAAAATAAGTACTAGCTACTAGCTGCAAACTGAATGATGGTAAACCACCAACACTACTCAGTGGCTGCAGAGACTGATGCTAGTTTACATAATGGAACAGATGCCTGCAAGGCTGCAACTGGAAACAGAGGTAGACTTGAGTTACACTGGAGTGTAGGCGTTTTCCAAGAGATGAGTTGTTGTGATAAAACTGTGGTACCTGCCAAATCTATATGGAAAACGTTATGATGATAAACATTTAGTACTTAACTGTAGAAATGTGGGACATATGTATCATGCATCCTTAATCGGTGACTATTTTTAAACTTTAAAATAATATTTATTAAGAAAAGGAATGAAAACACATCTGCCATGGTGGCAGGTTGGCTCGATTTGTAAACATTTATTTCAATGTTCCATGTCAGGAAATGACCTGTTATGTTGAAAATAAGAGGAAAGATGTGTAGCTGGAGAAGGTCCTTTTTATATTGGAGTGAATAAGGTTTAGCTAAATGTAATTGTGAGCAGCCTAAATTAATGTTACGTTATGGTTTCCCTTGGTTAATTTCCACACAATGGCTGCCCGGCAGGAAACAAAAGACGTGTTTTTGCAGGAATGAAAACATACTTCTTCGACACAAGAAATGTTTGACAAATTAACGTTTAGGATGTCCAAGTTAAGCTTAGCTAAACGTATTTCAGCTACTTGTGTTGACGTTAGTTACTAGCCTGTTGAGTTGAGGTGGGGCTCAGCCACAGAAAGTGACCTCACGCCGACTGCACTCTCCAAAAGGGGGATACATGAGTCGATGGCAGGCATGACAAACACATGAGCCAAGCGTTAACCTAAGTGAAGTCTGATGTTATTAAAAATGCAAGTTGTACGTTGAACTTCCGTAGCGATAAACAGCAGGAGTCACAAAGGAAGAAACAGTGAGTAAAAACATAAACATATTTAGTAGTCCTTTGAGTTGTGAAAACGAATGGTTACTCTGTTTCAAATATAGCACAATAAACAACTTCCAGTTGGGGTGCACTTACTTTTCCAAACTATTCTTTTCAGCCCGTGATCTGAGCCCGATGCCATCTTGTTTCTTTTTTATTCCTCTGCGCCTCTTCCTTCCTATCTTCCTGTCCCGTGTCCTCATACTCTGACGTCATACGCGTCGTTAAGTGTGCGACGGGGCGCAGCTGTAGTTTGACAGGAAGAAGCGTGGATAGAAGAGGGGATTTTAAAGCCCTAAACTAGAGGAATATATCCGTATATCGATTCGTGAGGTGGACCGCAGTGATGCAGTGCGACTGGCCTCTGTTGGGTCCGCTGCAGTGGATGCGTTACGTCAACAAACAGGTGAAGGTGAAGGCGGGAAAAGATGAGGAGCGCCGCGGCTGGCTGCTCACCGTGGACCCGGTGTCCGCCAGTCTGGTCCTGGTGGACTTCAAGGAGGATGGGGGTGCTTCTGTGCAGGTGGTGATGGGCCATGCTGTGGAGGAGGTGGAGGTGCTGCAGGAGGCCGATGAGGAGACCACACAGCGCCTCCAGAGCTCCTTCCTCCCCGCGAAGACCCGCAGGCTGGACCCGGAGGAGCTGAGGAAGAAAAGAGCTGGCGTCCGGAGCTGGCTGGAGAAGAACCGGATCCCGGTGGAGGAGGAGGGGGATGACCTGAGGGTGGCCGGGGTCCTGACCATCACGCCCCCGTACGGACCTGAAGATTGCTGCAGCTCCAACCAGATCATCCTAGACCGCATCCAGAAACTGATCCAGAGTGTGTTTCAGATACAGACAGATCACACAGAAACTGATCCAGACTGTCCCTCAACTATGGAAGTATAAAGAAACCCCTGAACAACAGACAGACACAAACCAGAACTGGAAACTTAATTTAAAACTGTCAGAAAGGTTACATATTTTGTATGTACAATCTATGATTAACACTACCAATCAGATTCCTGCTCTCTGTCTCTCTACCAATCAGAGGGAGCAGCAGATGTACTGACAGTTGGTCTGAATCCAGTTTGAGTTCAGATAACATTTTTGTTCACATTAAGTTATTTTATTAGTTGAGATTACGTTTTTTTTGTTTAGGTTAAGTAATTTTCTCTTGTTTTTAGTTTAAATTTTGTGTTCTCATTTTGGTTTGTGTTACAAAATAAAAGTATTTCCTTTGTATGATACAGGAGACTGTTTGAAATGTTTTTATAGCAAATTAATATTCGTGTTTACTATACTTTGATCATTTTTCTTCTTTCATTAGATCTATTCAATCTGATATCAGATGTCAGATATCCTGTCCTTGATAAAAATAGATAAAAACATCTGCTCAGTTTCCAAGAGTCACACAGGTTTTCAG